TGCCATGTGCCTAGATATGCCTGTGTAACCTGTGTACAGGAAGGATGTATGTTCCATCAATGTGCAGTTGTCCACTCTTTATCCCTTTTCATTGTAACCCAAGGGCTGTGTGTCTGGATGATCTGTCTTTTGCTGTAAGTGAGTCCCCAACTATTATTGTGTTGGAGTCTAACTCTCCTGTTAGGTCTAACGGTAATTGCTTTATATAGCTGGGTGCTCTGGAGTTGGGTGCATATATATTTAGAATTGTTATATGTTCTTGTTGAATTGGTCCCTTTATCATTATGCCCTTCCTTATCTTTTTTTTTTTTTAACTTTCCTTCCTTCCTTTATTAGTGACCTTCCTTTTTTTTTTTTTTTAATTTTCCTTGGCTTAAAGACTGTTTTCTCTGATACAAGCATAACTACTCCTTTGCATGAAATACCTTTTTCCATTTTTTCACTTTCAGTCAGTATGTGTCTTTATAGGTGAAGTGAGTTTCTTGTAGGCAGTGTATTGTTGGTTCTTGTTTTATAATCCATTGAGCCTCTCTGTGTCTTTTAATTGGGGGCATTTAATCCATTTACATTTAGAGTTATTGTTGACATATATGGACTTGTTTTGTTACTGCCACTTTGTTACTTTTTTTCTGGTTGTTTTGTAGATCCTTTTTACTGGTCTTACTGTCTTCCTTTGTGATTGAGTGGTTTTCTCTAGCAGTATATTTTGATTTCTTGCTATTTATTTTTAGTATGTCTTTTATAACTTTTTGTGTTATGGTTACCATGAGGCTTACAAAAAACATGTTATAGTTACAACAAATTATTTAGACTAATAACAGCTTAACATTGATATCTAAGAAAAGAAAAAACCAAAACCAACTCTATTCTTTGGCATCATCTCCACCCCACCCCCAACCTTTTGATATTTTGTTGTTCCAAGTTACATCTTTTAATATTGCCTATCTCTTATATGGTTGTTGTATATGTTACCTTCATGTTAGGTTTGTCCTTTAGTCTTCATACTAAGGATGTAAGTGGTTTATTTACCAACCTTATGACATTGGAGTATTCTGAGGTTGTCTGTGAGCTTACTTTACTAATGAGTATCGTATCTTCAAATGTTTTCTTGCTGCTCCTTAGTGTGTTCTTCTTTCAGATCGAAGAACTCCTTTTAGCATTTCTTGTAAGACAGGTCTAGTGTTGATGAATTCCCTTAGCTTTTGTTTGTCTGGTAAAGACTTTATTTATCCTTCATACTTGAAGGTTACTTTTGCTGGATACAGAATTCTTGGCTGGCAGTCTTTTTCCTTCAGATCTTTGACTATATCATTTCATTCTTTTCTGGCCTGTAAGGTTTCTACCGAGAAATCCACTGAGAGACTTATTGGGACTCCATTGAATGTTATGTATTTTTCAGATGACATAAAAGAGCAAAAACCCATGTATATGCTGTCTACAAGGAACCAACTTTATTTATTTTTTTCAGTTTTTTCCTAAGTAATAGAATATTTTTATATCAGTTTTAGGTTTACAGAGAAATTGAGAAGAAAGTATAAAAAGTTCCATGCCCCCAACCCCCCCACTCCCAACACAGTTTCTTCTATTATTAACATCTTACATTAGTGTGGTACAATTGTTACATTTATGAGCCAAAATTGATATACGAGTATTAATACTAACTCAGTTTTACATTAGGGTTCCCTTTTTGTGTTGTGCAGTTCTATGGGTTTTGCTAAATGCACAGTGTCATGTATTCACTCTCACAGTATCATATAGAATAGTTTCACTGCCTTAAAAATCCTCTGTACTCCACCTATTCATTCTTCCCTGCCTTTATCCTCCCCCGAAACCCTGGCAACCACTGATTTTTTTGCCCATTACTTCAAACATTCTTCATTTCTTTGTGCTGGGAGTATTCAAAATCCTCTCTTCTAGCTAATTGAAAGTATACAACAAATTGTTAATGGTAGCCACCCTACATTGCTATGGAACACTAGATATTATTCCTCCTATCTAGCTGTATTTTTTTATCTGTTAGCCAACCTCTCACTATACCCCACCCCACCCCCAACCTTTTCCAGCCTTTGGTAACCACCATTCTATTCTTTACTTCTATGAGATCAACTTTTTTTTTCTCTTAGTTTTCCTGGCTTATTTCACTTAATGTAATGTTCTCTGGGCTCATCCATGTTTCTGCAATGACAGGATTTTGTTCTTTTTTTGTGACTGAGTAGTATTCCATCGTGTATATATACCACATTTTCTTCGTCCATTCATCTGTCAATGGGCACCTAGGTTGGTTCTATATCTCGGCTATTGTGAATAGTGCTGCAATAAACATGGGAGTGCAACTATCTCTTCGACATACTGCTTTCTTTTGTTTTGAATGTACATCCAGTAGTGGGATTGCTGAGTCATATGGTAATTTTATTTTTCTTTTTTTGAGGAACCTCCATACCTAAAAATGGTTAAGATGGTAAATTTTGTGTTACATGTATTTTACCACAATTTCAAAAATACCATTTACAATAGTGTAAAAAGTACTTCAGAATAAATGTGACAAAAGATATGCAAGGTCTGTATGTTGAAAACTATAAGACGTTGCTGATAGAAACTAAAGAAGAACTTAATAAATGGGGAGATATACCATGTTCATAAATTGCAAAACAAAATATTAAGATGTCAGTGCTCCTTAAATTGATCTATAGAGTCCATGCAATCCTAACGAAAATATCCACAGGCCTTTTTTTTTTTTTAAAGAAATTGACAAGATTATTTATAAATCCATATGGAAATAAAAAATAACTATAATAGCCAAAACAACTTTGAAAGAGAACAGAGTTGGAGAACTCACATTTTTAAAATTCAAG